AATATTTGAATTTTTTTTTTTTGTTTTCCAATTTGTTGGTTTTTGAATTTGGAGAGAGAGAGATAGAGGGACAGAGAGGAGGGCAAAGAGCGAAGAGGAGGGGGGGAAACAAAAGGGGGGAAGGGTCTATGAGGGAATGGGGGAGAAGAAAATTGAGGGAGGGGGGCTCAGTTTGGGTCTCATGATTTTTTTCTCTTTTTCTTCAAATTTTTCTAATTTTATATTTATTTTAACCATATTTTTATTTGTTAATTATGAAAAGTCATATTTACTCTAAAATTTGGTTAAATCTAATAGAAAATCTCATCCAACATCTATCCTACGTAGCAACAAAAGAGAAACTACTTTTTTTCTTTTTCTATTTTTGCAACTTCAACGAGAGGAATCCAATACCATAAATTGATCAAGGCACCCATGTGCCTTCTCCCTCAATCCTCTGCTCCCATTTCTTACGATTTAGTGGTGCAACAAGCTGGCTCCACCGTTGTAACCTATCGTGGAGCTCAACACGTGCCGCCACCTTGGCCATCGAAGTCGGAGTAGTCATGTATAAACGAAGCTGCCGTTGTTGTCATCTCTCCCGCGCCAATGTCATTTGGTTGTATAGGGAGGGAAGAAGAAGAAGAAAAAGGGAAACGAAAACTCCACTATGAAAAAGTTGTATTTACCCTTCCTATTCTCCTCAAGTGCAGTTCACATAACTAAAACTCATAGCAAATGAATAGTAGACCAATTCACTAAATAATAAAGAGTTGGTGGACCATTTAAACGAATAATTTAGTTGAGGGACCAAAATGCAACTCGGGTATAAGTTTGAGGACTATTTGAGTAAATAACCCATTGAAATAAATGGGAAAATATGATTTTATTATTGAGCATAAACAACCTATTTAAGACAAAATTATCTTGATCTGGAAATATACAAAATAAAAAGGGAGTTTCACTAAAACACCCAAAATGGGGGTTGAAATTATAAAAAAAACCAAGCACTATTTAAACATATAAACACACCTAAAACCCATCATTACACACACTCAAAACCCATTTATAAACGCAAACTGCTCAACTTCCTATCTCTGTTTGTGATAAACTTGATCAGTTAAATAGGAATTTCCTCTGGGGCCATACTGTGGATAAGAGTAAGGTTCATCTTGTTAAGTGGGAGATTGTTGGTCAACCTAAGACTGCTGGTGGTTTGGGAATCAAGAAAACTGCTTGGATGAATCAAGCTTTGTTGGCTAAGACTAGTTGGAGATTGCTTCAGAATGATCAAGGTCTTTGGTCTCAAATTTTGAACGCTAAGTATTTAAGGCAGTATGATCTTCTTGCTGCCAAGGATCTTCATTTGAGTTGCAATTCTAGTGCTTGGAGGGGTGTGTTATATGGTGCTAAGCTCCTCCCTCATGGCCTTCAATGGAGGGTAGGTTCTGGTGACAACATCTTATTTTGGACTGATTCTTGGTTAAGCTGTGGTCCTCTGCTGAGTCATGCCTTAATTGATTTATCTGAGGAAATGCTCCAGCTTAACGTAAGTGATTTTTTGGAAGATGGTTGTTGGGATTTGAATTGTCTGCAGGAATGTTTGCCTAATGAGATTGTTTAGATGATTCTAAGCATTCATGCCGATTTCCTTGGAAGTGGCCTGGATAAAAGAATCTGGAAGTGCACTCCTAATGGTGACTTCTCTGTTAAGTCAGTTTATGGTATCAGTTTTCTTGAAGGGAATGTGCTTCCGTGGCAGTGGGGCTTTATTTGGAAGCTTAAAATCCCTCCTAAGATTAAAGCTTTTCTGTGGTTGTTGTGCCATAAGAAGTTGCTTACCAATTTTCAAAGACAAAAGAGGGGCCTTGCTTCTTGTGCTGCTTGTCCTAGATGCAGTTACCCTGTTGAAACTATTGAGCATTTAGTTAGTGGTTGCTGTTGCTCTATGGATATTTGGAGTGGCTTTGGGCTTAATGATGAGTGGGCTCATTGCCATGACGGTGACTTTGATGTTTGGCTTTTGCACAATCTGCAGTCTAAACGTGTTGGTTGTGATAAGTTATCTTGGCCCTTAGTTTTTGCTGTTTGCCTCTGGTTCATCTGGAAGTGGCGGTGTAAAATTGTTTTTGAGGCTGGGTTTGTCATGCCTTCTGAGCCTCATAAGATGATTCAGCAGTATGCTATGGACTGGTTTATAGCTTGTAAGCCTATGCTTAGCTCTCCCAAGAAGTGTGTTGTGCAGGTGCATTGGCATGCCTCTCTTCCTGGTGTTTTTAAGTTGAACACTGATGGGAGTAGAAATTCTGGTTCTGGTGCTATTGGAGCAGGTGGTGTGATTAGAAACTCTGCAGGGGTTTGGATTACGGGCTTTGCTGTCAATCAAGGTGTTGGTTCTACTCTTGAGGCTGAACTTTGGGGTGTTTTTTGGGGGCTTCATCTGGCTTGGGAGATTGGTTGCAGACATATTGAGGTGGAATGTGATGCTAATTCTGTGGTGTCTCTTCTCACTGGCTCCATTGCTTCCACACATCCTCTCTTTAGCTTGCTAAGTTGTTGCAAGTTGAAGTTGCAGCAAGATTGGGTTTGTTCTCTCACTCATGTGTTTCGTGAGCAAAACTGTGTTGCTGATGGTTTGGCTCACATGAGTCATGGTATGTTTCCTGGCCTTCATCGGTTGGAGCTCGCGCCTCCTTGTGTCCGTGAGAGCCTTGCTGCTGATGTTTGCAGTCTGGCCAGGCCTAGAGTTGTGGCTGTTTAGTTTCTTTTGTTTTGGCCTTCTTGGCCCCATTTCACCAAAAAAAAAAAAAAAAAACTCATTTATAAACCCACCCAAAAAGTTAATTTGGGTTGATTTTGGGTGTGTTTCTATGTTTAAATAGTGCTTGAATTTTTTTATAAATACATGTCTAGAATTTGGTTTATTTATAAATTTGTAAAATAAAAACCCTAAACACTGTCAGACGGGTCACGATATATAAACCCAGTGAATTGGGCGATTGGGCCAGACGACGAGTACAGATTGATAGGGCTGGAAAACAATGAAACCCTAACTCAGCCCAGAGTCCAGAGCCTCATCCGTACCTCAATTACCACATTTATCCTTATTTGAATGGCCCAACCCCCAATCCTTAGGGCAAAAGCGTCAACCCAACACATTTCCATCAAATAAATATCCCAAATCCCAGCTCCCTCGATCTTCTGTGAGCCGCCGAAACCCTAGGTGAGCGAGAGAGAGGCGCAGAGAGAGAGAGAAATGACGACCCGATTCAAGAAGAACCGCAAGAAGAGAGGCCATGTCAGCGCCGGGCATGGTCGTATCGGCAAGCACCGCAAGCATCCTGGAGGTCGCGGTAACGCCGGAGGCATGCACCACCACCGCATCCTCTTCGACAAGTACCATCCGGGGTATTTTGGTAAAGTTGGTATGCGCTACTTCCACAAGCTCCGCAACAAGTTCTACTGCCCCATCGTCAATGTCGACAGGCTCTGGTCTCTTCTCCCCCAGGAGGCCAAGGACAAGGCCACCAAGGACAGCGCGCCGTTGATCGACGTCACCCAGTACGGCTTCTTCAAGGTCTTGGGAAAGGGCGCTTTGCCGCAGAACCAGCCGGTTGTGGTCAAGGCCAAGCTCATCTCCAAGACAGCTGAGAAGAAGATCAAGGAAGCTGGTGGTGCTGTTGTGCTCACAGCTTAGGTTTGGGTTGATTTTGGATTTTTGTCTGTTAGGGTTTTGGATTCAGTTGCTGTTTTTTTGCTTTTAAATTCTGGTTTAGACTCTTGGGCTACATTTATGTTATATTTTGAAAGTTTATCTAGCGGATATTTAATTAATGCTTGTTTTCAGATGAATGGGCTTTGCTTCATATATGCTTTTGATATGATTGTGGGTTTGTTTCATTTTTGGTATTGGTAGAGTTTTTGTTCGCGCTGCTTAATACATTTTTGTGTGTTGTGATTATATGATGTGAAAAGCATAATGTGGCATTGGTCGCACTGAACTAAAATCTGTTTATCTTGTTGTGAATGTTTGGATTTTGTATCGATCTAATGGATCAAGGTATTTGCAAATGTGCGATTCGATTGGTTTCGTTTCGTTTCGTTAATATACCTGTGGTGTTGAACGTCCTCAACTTTATTGCTAGTCATATATACACTTAGTTAGACTTGAGTGCTTCTGGGGTTGTGACTGGCTATGTGCAAGTTTTGGTAAATTTTATCCAACTTCTGATCAATTCCACTATTGTTGTGGTTAGTGTATCTTCTTAACCTGTGCTTGCTGTTGCATTTTTCATTTGTTGGTATTATTTATTAATTTGTTTACGGGTTTCGAAAGCAAGAGGGAAGTCAAATCGAACTTGCTAGCAGTTGAATCATTTATTGGATGGTCTTAATCTGCATTTGTGAATTTTTTTAGGCTTTACATGTATATGATATTGTATTGGTTACAAATTGGTTGAAAGGGTTCTAGAGTAGTGTGCTGCCTTCATTATTAGGTGAATTTTGGCAAGGTTTTTGGGTTGTTGTGTGCTGATGAACCATCTTAAATTTTGGGGACAGCGGCTTCTGCTGTTTGTATGTTGTTTTTTAAAACCATATTTCATATGGCGTTCCAGAAGCAGTTTCTATGTGCTGCTTTTTGATATGGGTCGTCGATAGTTTCATTTCCTTCTTTATCTGTGTTTTCTTTAGCAACGAAAATGGGAGTAGACTCTAAAATCGATCATATATGAATGAATTCAACTATGAATGTCATTATCATATATTGCAATTACACGATCAGCCCTTCCCCTGCCACTGATCTTCCGGCCCATCCACATAGGTCAGGCCGATCCGGTACTCAAATTTATTATAACTCAAAATCTCCAGTGAAGGACTAAGCTGCCAATTGTTGCAGAAGATTGCTCCTTACACTGAAATGAAAATGGCAGGTGGAGCCATATTTCTAGATATGACTGCCCTTCGTAATTAAATTTTGCCAACCTCTGCACTCTGTTTAATCTCGAGGTTCAAATTTCTACTTTGTTTCCACCGTTGTTCTGTTTGTCATCTGTATCGACATGCCCTCCCCATTTCCTTATCCTATCTTCAGCTATGGAAGCCTGCGTTTCATGACAGATTACGTCTCAGTTTACAGTGTATTATCATTCACACGTTAGAAAATACGACACGAAGTCTTGTTCACTACGTTGAAGATCTGTAAATTGAAAGGCCCTTACCTCCTTGTTCCAGTTGGTTTTATAAATCATCACGAATAGGACGCAAGTCTGAAGGACTGTCCCCATCAGCATCCCAATCCAAATGCCCTGAAAATGGAAATGAAGTGTATAATTATATTTTGCCAATTGGCTAATATATATAAGTAAGAAATACTAGATCGAAAGCTGGAAGAGGGCTTATTAAGAACTCACCTTAACACCCCAGTCAAGCTTGTAACCCATAATTAGGCCCAAGGGAACCCCAATTACATAGTAACAAGCTATGTTCACGTAAGCCACTGCAGCTTGCCATCCAGCTCCAATGGCTACCCCAGAGAGAACAGGCTGGATGTTGTTTATGACAATGCAGGTTGCTAGCAATGGTGTGAGCTGCTTCACGAGAGCCTTAACCTCCGAGTCGCTTGAAAACAAGGCGGGGTACTTGTCTTTGAAGATGATGAGGATGAGCGAGAGGAGAACGCCAATGAAAAAAGAAGTCACTACGGCCACCACTAATGAGAACTTTGCTGTTCTTGGGTGAGCTGCTCCTAGTTCATTTGAAACTCTCACACTACACACAAAAGTATTTGATTTCAATCAGATTGACATTTTTATTTTAGGGACTTGGGTATGTATTTGTAAGGCTTTGGCACTGACCTGATTGCTGCGTTCATGCCCATAGCAATCATCACCGTCCATCCCAATATGTTCATGCTGCAAAGCAAATATACCACAAGAAAATAATGATAATAGAAATAATAATTTAATTGACATGTTGCTCAATTATATATGCGTGAGTCAATTCATCATCTTCGTGACACCAGGAGTGTAAAAAGCAAAAAAGTGTGTGTCGACTTTTCTTCATATGCACCTCGCAGTGGGGCAAAACATAAATAGACTTGCGTAAGAGACAAAAAGTTGATGTAACGATAATAATATCAATATATAATGTGGGCCCTAATTAATTGGGACTTTTTGTTGGTGGTTTCCAACTTCCATCATATTTCAACGGATACGATTTCTTAATTAATGAATGGGGCCAGACGAAGAAAGAAGCACTGACCATATGGACAGGCCATCCACGGAAACTTCTGCATTCTTTAGATACCCCGCAAATAGAATTAGTGCCATAAAATACCACACTTCCAAACTGCACCAAATTTAAACAAAGATCAAATCAAATGAACTTGTAATGCCAAATACTCATGTGGGATCTATTAATTTATGAATATAACAAGGAGGGCTAAACGCCAACACAAACACTAAACAGCAACAGATCTTAAGAGTAAAAACTTTTCGCAAATCATTAAACATTAATTGTCTCAGGAGATGAGAGAGGGAGTGGAGGTGGGTCAGAGATGATGTCGCTTGAGGCAACTCCTTCCTTGTTGATGCCGAAAGGCAAAGGGCATAATAAATTCAAAGTACGCAAATGTAGCGGATCAAGGAAAAAGTCAAAATTAAATATCTGATGTGGACATGGGTTTGAGGCTTTTGTGTCTAGAGTAGGCGGTAATTACGTTTGGGACCAAGTGCGGCTTGAGTGGATCTTTGATATTTTAGCTAGTGATGTAAACCTAACTATTCGTCTCTTCGCTTTGGTAAAGAAGAAGTCAAAATTAAATATCTGACGTGGACATGGAACCCATGTAGAAAATTAACATAAAAGCCCAGACACAACTCTCTTTTTGTTTGTTGTTGTTGGGTAAATAAAAAGGTTTTTTTTTTCCAGACGTGGCTTAGCTATCGTGATTGTGGATTGTGTATGACAATGTAAATTTGTTGTTTTTAGGGAATTACATGCAAAGTAGAGTCAATTATAACTTGTTTTTATTTTCCCTTTTCGGTTACTTTTCTTTTTTGTCGAAACGGGGGAATTTTTCGGTTACTTTACTTTGCTTGTCGAAATAGGACAAGCAATGTAATTTGATGTTTCATGTGTTTCATGCTGATAAAGAAAATAAAAAGAAAAGTTATTTAATTATGTTGCTGTAAAATTAATTAATAAATAAAAAGCGGTGAAAGTGGCGTTAAGTTACCAGAGCATGATTGCAGATGCGAGAGACAGCTTCACAAAACTCCAAAGATTCTGAAAGGCCTTCCACGAGAACCCAACCCAAGCTCGACCACAAGTCCCTGAAAAGATGTAAACCAACTGTGCCAACACGATGAGCCACCAAGACACGTTCAACACCACGGCCCCACCCACCAGGCCCCAACCGAGCTTCAGCATCAACAGCCAGCTGAACACCGTGTGCAGAACCAGAGCCGCCGCGGCTATGGCCGCCATCACCATGATCTTGCTCTGCGCCTGCAGGAACTTCGCTATCGGGAAATTCATGGCGTACGCGAACAGCTGCGGTATCATCCAGATGGCGAACACTCCCGCCGCCTTCGATATGTCAGCGGTCTGCCCTATCAGCCGGAGCAGCTGTTGGGCGAAGATGTATAGAAAGCACAAGACCACGCCCGTCGTGTTCAAAATCACCCATGACCTCTGCATGTATATCCCTAACATGTCCAGCTGTCCCGCCCCGAAAGCTTGCCCGCACAGCGTCTCCAGCGCACTCCCCATTCCAAGCTTAAATTATTCAAAATTTAATTTTATATCAGAAACTGCGGCTTTAATAGTATTTCTCATTTCTTCAGTGACAAACTGACAGTGAGTTAGTAGAAAGGGAGGGTTACGTACCATTACGCCGAAGGAGAACCCGGCGATGACGGAGTTTTCAATGGAGACGGCTGCGAGCTCTAAGGTACCGACCTGGCCGGCGAAGACTTGGGTGACGGCACCGAGGGAGTACTGGCAGAGGGAGGTGAAGATTGCGGGGCCAGCGAGGTACCACAGCTTCTTGGTTTCTTTGTAGAACTCGCGGAAGAAGTCGCGGAAGCCGAGGATGGGAGAGATGTCGTCGGCATCGGGAGCGAAGGAGGCGTTGGAATTGAAAGAAGGGTGTGCGGTTGCAGGGAAGGACTCTAGGTGGTCATGTAGCTGATCACGATCAGCATCACCAAACTCGTCTCTCGGCGACAGAAGTGGCTGCTTCTTATCCTCCATAGATGAGGAAGACTCGGGAGAGAGAGAGAGAGAGAGAGAGAGAGAGTTATTGTGGTGTGTGTTGTGCGTTTGGTTAAATTCTTAGGTGGCGAGAGAATAAAAAGGGGACTTGTATAGCGGCGATGGAATCCAACTGCATGGAATTTGTGCATCAATTGGCTCATATGTGCTCAGCGGTCCGTTTTGGAATTTTTTTGATTAATTATATTACTAATTAACTTACTTAGACCGTGTGAGGAGGTTGTGATTATGAGTATGGCCTAAATCAAGTTATACCTCGCCCTTTACTTAGGTGTGAGAGGAGGATGTGATCATATATGGAGATTTTGTTTGGTATACCTTACAGTCTTCCTTTGTTTATGTTCAGTGAGAAAAAGACACCTTTATTTTTTCTGTAGTCAAAGTTTTCTGTATATCTGTATAAAAATATATATAGCAGACCAAAATCTATTGAGGAGATAAACTTTGGCAGACTGAGACGAATAGTTTGCTGTTTGCCTCAAGAGAAAAACCAATGGGTTGCTGTTTCAACTGTGTGGCGTGGATCTTTAGTAAAATTGGAATGAATGAATTTAGCTGATCATATTATTCATTACCCGACCACATGCAGCAGCAGCAACATACAAGTATTGAAACCTACGCCAATCTTGGCTTTACTAACAATTATTTTTATTTTTTATACGGAATATATATACGTCCAAGACCAAGAAGATGATGAGTGACATAAATATATATGCATGAAAATTATAATTTCATGAGATCGTGGTGCTTGCTCTTCTCTCCACGTTATATGTATATGCCACCCCCCAACCCCTTCTTATATATTTTTTGATACATATTATACAGCCTTCCAACTCAATATAGCTGCTTGTTTTTGGATAAAATCAAATTAATAATAATATATTATGTGAAAATATTATCATGCATATCATAGCGTTATTTTGCTATCCCATCATGAAAGTCTTTGTTGTTGTTCTGTATACTTTACAGTCAAATATGATGATTGATTGTGTTGGATTCCCTTTTTCCTAGGGAATGTAAACACATTACTGTATTATTTATTTCATAAGGAAAATAATACAGTAATGTGCTTACATTTGCGTAATAGCTATGTTGACAACTTGACGTTGTGCATGCATTGTAATTAAATTCAATATTTAATTCTTCATTATATTTGGAATTTTGGAGCATCTCATCGTCTAAGTGTACTAGACGAGGGCGCAAGACGAGACCAGATGCTTAAAAAATTCATTAAAATATAATGTGCCTGCAGCAACATCAACATCAAATATACATGTATTAATATATTTGTCGGTAGATAGACAATAAGGCAAGGAGAAAAGATTCAAAAGCTTGCTTTCTTTCTTTTTTAAATCTGGATGCTACCAGTCAACCCATAATATCGCTGTCGTTGTTTCTACTTTAGTTTTTCTTTCTCAAGAATGGTAGTTGAGTTGAGTTGACCATTAACGTCATATCATATGTATCAAATCGGAGGCCAAATTCGATACCAACGCTGATGCCGCAATTTCTTAAACCATCGGAGAGGTTACCATGAGAAATTCAAAGTGAGGAGGCTATTTGAGAAAACCGATTCTATTATCAAAATATTTAAAATATTTAAGTCCCATGATTTCTTTACATTTGTTGATGATGAGATTGACCTCCTCAAATAGCTTCCTCACTTTAAACTCGTGATTATAGCCTTCCCGAACCATCTACAATGGATTACCAATGGACTGAGTCCGAACCTCACTTTGAGCCCAACAAATGTTTGTGGGCCGGCTCATTAAAATTTGTTTGCAAAGCCTATTCCTATTGATTTATCATCAAAAACTTTTATGGAATGGAAGTCCATGGAGCGGCTAAAAGTTTGTTGGCTTGGCTTATGACACCCACGTTTTTGGGAAACAAAACTCTCCTCTTTTCTTTAGGCTTTAACAGAACACTCCTCTTTCCTCAAGGAAACAAAACAACAACAGGTTTCCTTTTCTTTGCGTGCGCTATAAAATCCAGAGAAGCCACGAGCTACACAAAGCAAACTCTCTTCTTTCTTCTCTTCTATTCTCATACATTGTTTTACGGTTTCGCCGCCGAGGTTTTTCTTATTTTCTTCGCCACTTCCAGAATCTCCACCACCACGGCGTCCGTACAAATAGCGGAGCGGCAGAGACAATGGAGAAGATAGAGTCGGATTTGAAAGAGTTCGAGTTGAAGCAGAGGAGCCTGGCCAGGGCGTACGATAGTATACATGCGCAAGCTAATTCCTTCGTCATCTTTACGGTGCAGTGGAAGGACCTTCAGGACCACTTTGAGTCGACTCGGCACTCGCTAGAGGCCCGCTTCCGAGAACTCGAGGCCCGGGAGGAGGATATCGGAGTCCGAGAGACCAAATCGGAACCCAAAGATTGGAACTTTCGCTCCGAGATGGAGGCGAAGGCCGGCGAGTTGCGCGGCCTTAGTAAGAACAACTTGCATTCGCTATTGTCATTGATTGAATCATTGATTGAAGAACACAGCGATGAGGTTCTTGTTCAGGAGAAGCTGTTGATGGAAGTTGAGAAGTATGTTAGAGACAAGGAGATGGAGTTTTATTCGATTGACAAGCGTGTAAAACAGAGGACGAAGAAATTGAATTGGGTTGAGAAAGTGGAAGAGAAGTCGAAATTGGCCGAGTCTAAGGAGGGGGAAGTGAAAGGGTTTCAAGAAGCATTGAACAAGTACGTTGCGTACATTGAGTTGAAAAAGAGGCAATTGAATGAGATTCTTGGGTCGATTGAGAAGCACAAGAAAGAGTTTGATTTGAAACAAGAGCTAATTGAAGCAACGAAAAGATCGATTGAGGAATGTGACAAGGAGTTGATATTGAAAGAGGAGAAACTTAGGTTGATTCAGAAATCGTTAGAGGAGTGCTCTAATACACTTGAATCGAAAGAGAATATGATTGGGGAAATAGATTTGAAAGAAAGAGATTTTGGTTTGCTTAAGAAATCAATGGAGGAGCGGTCTTGTAAGCTTCAATTCAAAGCGAGGGAACTTGAATTGATTGACAAGAGGGTCAGTGAACGCCTCAACGAGGTTAAGTTGAAAGAAAAGAATTTGGATCAACTCCAAAAAGCGATACGAGATGGCGAGAAGCACTTGGATAAAATGTCTAAGGGACTTCAAATGAAAGAGTCAAGACCAGGCCAAAGAGCTTGCATTGAAGCAGAAAGAAGTTCATTCGATCAAAAAATCTACTGAAGAGCACACCCAAAACCTGATATTGAAAGAGAGGCAACTTGAAGACCAGGCCAAAGAGCTTGAACTGAAGCAGAAAGAATTTGATTCGATAAACAAATGCAGTGAAGAACAGACCCAAAACCTGAAATCGAAAGAGAGGCAACTTGAAGACCAGGCCAAAGAGCTTGAACGGAAGCAGAAAGAATTTGATTCGATAAACAAATCCACTGAAGAATACTCCCAAAACCTGAAATCGAAAGAGAAAACTAATACCCTTCATTCTCAAGTGCAGATTGAGCAACTGGAACATATCCCTTCCAACAATGCCTTTGTTCCTTCTTCTGCAAGTAATCAATCTAGCATCAATAGGGATGGTAGAGGCTTGCAGCTGTTCGTGAATGAGCAGTTGAAGAGAATTGCTTTAGTGGGTAGTGAAATCTCAGCTGTTCTTGAGGCCTCATTGGACCAAGCAAAATTGGTTTTGGATGCAATGCAAGGGTTTTACCCCTCAAATTCGACTCTAGGCAACAGGGAATGTGATTTTGATTTGGGAGTTATTAGGAGGAGTTGTATTCTTTTGTTAGAGGCTTTAAGGAAAGTCTCACCGCAAATTAATCCTCATGTGAGAGAAGAAGCAATTAAGTTGGCGGATGACTGGAAGGATAAAATGTCGGTGGCAACAGAGAATTGGTTGGAGATTTTGGGTTTTTTGAGGCTTGTTACTACGTATGAAATCACGTCTTCTTATGATGAGAAGGAGCTTCGAAGTCTTATTGCTTTAGTTGCTGAGTATGAACAGGCAACTGAATTATCCCAAGCTCTTGGTAGCACAGAAAATGCATCTGCCATCATCATTTGTTCCCCTGAGAAACCAGAATCTTCACTGGCCAAAAATGCAGCAGCTGTTTCTTCTCCGAATCTTCAACTAACTGCTACCACAGATGCAAGGAATTTGCAGGGGTTTCTACATGAGCTTGCGAGAGGGAATCATTTAATACAGAATGAAACTTTGGCTGCTCTTCAGACGTCATTGGACCCAGCAAAATTTGTGTTGGATGTGATGCAGAATTCCTTTGCTCAATACTGGGGAGACGGAGATGTTCCTTCTAAAGAAACTGTCATGTTGAGTTACATTAACCTGTTGGAGCAGCTAATGGGTGTCTCACTGCATGTTGGACTTCATGTGAAGGACGATGCGGAAAAGCTAGCTATCCAGTGGAAAGCAAAAATGGGAGCTGATACTCAAAATTCATTGGAACGTTTGGGTTTTTTGCAGTTTATTGCTACATATGGGTTGTTTTCTACCTTTACTAGAGATGATATTGCACCGCTTCTTGGGAGAATTTCTCAGGATAAACAGACTCGAGAATTATGTCAGAAACTCAGGTTTACAAATAAGATCCCTGCACATTTTATTATGAATCTTATTGAAAGGAGGAAACTGCTTGAGGCTGTAAGGTTGATTTGCACCTTCAAGTTCATTGACATTTTCCCCCCAGTACCACTCTTGGAGAAGTATGTGGAGAACAGAAAGAACTGGAGGTGTAAAATTTGCAAGAGAAAGAACTCACTAGATAAAAAGGATAAGGTTTTAGATAATGATATTGCTGACTTAAGAGCTGTGATTCAGTGCATCAAAGATTGCAAGCTCGAGTCTGAATACCCATCCGGGAACATTGAAATACAAATAGCAGTGCTTGAGAAAATAAAGGAGGATCGAAGAAGACGTTCAGCAACATCTCTTGCTTGCAAAGTTGGGCAACAAGAGCAGAAGAAATCTCTTCCCTCCAATGTTGAGCAACAAGAGCATAAAAATTCTCCAGCCTCCAAATTTAAAATATTTAAGTCCCATGATTCTCTTCCCTCCGATGTTGAGCAACAAGAGAAGAAGAAATCTCTTCCCTCCAATGTAGAGCAACAAGAGCAGAAAAATTCTCCTGCCTCCAAGATTGAACAACAAGAGCAGAAGAAATCTCTTCCCTCCAATGTTGAGCAACAAGAGAAGAAGAAATCTCTTCCCTCCAATGTAGAGCAACAAGAGCAGAAAAATTCTCCTGCCTCCAAGATTGAACAACAAGAGCAGAAGAAATCTCTTCCCTCCAATGTTGAGCAACAAGAGCAGAAAAATCCTCCTGCCTCCAAGGTTGAACAACAAGAGCAGAAAAATCCTCTTGCCTCCGAGGTTGAACAACAAAAGCGCACATGGGATCAACTGCATCAACAGCAACAGCAACAACAACAACAACATCAACAGCAACAGCAACAGCAACAGCAACAACATCCAAATAAATTCCAACGAACATCAGGATCAGCTGCTACACCATATCGAATGCTAACTTCCACTCCTGACTACTATCATCAGCATACAAGTTTGCCAACTTCGCAGCATGGGAATTATAGACACCCTGGGCAGTTTGGTATGCCAATTTGGCAGTTTGGTATGGCTGCGGCCAACCAATATGGAATTGGTGCTAATTGGGGACACCCTGGGCAGTTTGGTATGTATGCCAACAATTACGCAAATGTTGCAATGCTGCATTCTGGAATACATCAGCCGTATCACTTCACCCCCAGCCCTCCTACACATGGCCCTTATCAACCCAATAGCTAGTATCAACTGCGTGTGACTGCCTTCAGATACAGCAGATACAACAAATTCTTAATTTAAACAACGTCTTTGTATAATCTTGATATCTCATTATTTAGTTTCTTAACTACTGACTTTGTTTTACAAGGTATAAAGGCAATAAATAGAGTTCTTACAATGATATTATTCTTTGGTATTAATATGGATTTTGCTGCTTGTATTGGTCTAAGGGAGAACGCTAGCAACATTCTCTTTAACTTTTTTTTTGGGTCTTCTCTATTCTCCTCATAACATGTGTCACTTTCTCTACACATAAAACAATATCATTAATACATTGGAATGTATCTTTTGTTTCCCAAATTTACCCTTATTAAATGCATTGGACAAACTAACTTTTATTTCCACTTTTAAACAAAAAAATGGCTTTTTATCACAAAACATCCCTGACGTTTGAGAAACTATCAAATTGCATCATTAAAGTTTTTTTTGTACCACTCATGGTCCCTAACGTTAATATAGGTGTACTTCCATTGAGGGACACCCCTTGTACGGCCCACTCCGGATTGTATTTCACTAATCCAAACCATCTATTTTGTAGATACACATTCAAAGATCATCTCTACAAAAAATCATTTGAATCTGATATCATTTGACCATTCAATTGAGTTATTGAAATTTTAGTACTTTCTTGAAGCACCGTGTTCATTGATTTTGTAGGACATAATTAGATGTCGAAATGGTTTCCAATTTATCTAATTTTTTGTAAGGATGATCTATGAATGAAGATCTAAAAAATAGATGATTTGGATCATTGGAAAAAAAAAAAATTGTAGGGTATCCTAAGGGGTGTAGGGGACTGTACACACACACACACACACACACACATATATATATATATAGGGGGCGGATCCATGGCACCATATTTTTTACCCAAGTTTTGGCACAATTTTTGGGCCATTAGATTACTCCACTTTTAATGGTTGAGATTAAATCTGACATGACAAATAGTTTTAATGTTTTAAATAAACAATCATTAATTTTATTTTCTCTCTCATAAAAATAAAATAAAATAAATTTCTCTCTCCTCCCTTTTTTCTTGAAAACGTAATCTCTTTTCTTGGTAGTATCATTTTTTACTTGGTATATACCTCTCTCTCTTTCCTGGGATCAGAAAAAAAAACCTTTATCTTTTTTATATGGGGGCGGATCCATGGCACCATATTTTTGACATAAGTTTTGACACGATTTTTGGGCCATTAGATTACTCCACTTTTAATGGTTGAGATTAAACCTGACATGGCAAAACAAATTTTTTTCTTTAATTAATATTTATATATTGTGATTAAAATTCTGATACCATATTAGTTAAGAATTCATTCTCTCTCATCTTATTAATTATCTTTAATTAATTCACTCTCTCTCTCTCTCTCTCTCTCTCTTTCTTCTAAAGAGAATTGACGCCTCCTCCTCTGCCTCTGCTTCTTTTTTCTCTCTCTCGCCACCTCCTCTGGTGAGAGTGTTAAGTTTTGATCCAGTCGTGCTGATATTACTCTATTTATGAATTGTTTAAGAGCAACAAATGGTAGCTAAAAAAGAATATGTAGAATAAAAGTTTTGTGTTTCGGATACAGTGTGAACGTCATTACTGTCATCCTTGAGAAGATAGACTAGGCAAATAAGAACAATGAACTCATTAAACTTGATACCCATGTCCTCATTAATATCACATGCCTCAAAGAGATCACTGATTTCCTCATCTGTAAAAGAGACTTCTAGTTTATAAAAATATTTTTTCATCTCTTCTTGATCGATTGCAAAATTGGTAGAGTGGCTTTATTATCAATTCTCTTTAGAAGAAAGAGAGAGAATGAATTAATTAAAGATAATTAATGAGATGAGAGAGAATGAATTACTAATTAATATAGTATTAGAATTTTAATCCCAATGTATAAATATTAATTAAAGAAAAAAAATATTGTCTTGCCATGTCAGGTTTAATTTCAGCCATTAAAAGTGAAGTAATCTAATGACCCAAAAATTGTGTCAAAACTTATGTCAAAAATATGGTGCCACGGATCCGCCCCCACATATATATATATATATGTAAGTCTTCTCTCTCCCCTCTTTCTTTTCTGTTTCCTTTCCTTCTCTCTTCTTTCTTTTCTATATCCAAACACTCACCAATTCCCCAGCAACACCTTCGTTCGACATGAGCTTCGTAACACAAGTCAGAGTGCGAAACCCAAATTGGGGTCCTTTAAAGTTTCGTGATGGCACCATCGTGTTTACATACCAAGGTGTGGTTGTTGGGCAAGTTTATATTCCAAATGGCAAAGTCGGATTGCGATCCACCAAAAAAATCACTGTGCTTGTGAATGTGAATTCTAATGTGTTGCCAAGCAAGTCTGCTCTTGGAAATGAGCTCAGCAATGGCTTGCTGTTGCTGACCAGCACAACCGAGTTGAAGGGAAAGGTTGAGTTGATGCTGATCATGAAGACAACGAAGACAGCTGAATTGAGCTGCTCTATGGTGTTCAATTTGGCAGCAAGGTCTCTCCAGAATTTGGATTGCAACTGAGAATCGAGCCAATTTTAGTTTTATGTTTACAAATTTTGAATGTTATATTGTTTACAAATTCTGTTGGGATTATATATATAATATACATATTATAGTACAAACTCCAATTCTACTTTAACTGCTTTTCCCCATGCGTTTTTATATATCCCAAAAGGTAACAGAAAAGAAAGAGGGGAGAGAGAAGACTAATATCAAAAAAGCTGCTTATACTATGCTTTAAAAAAAAGCTATTTCTGCTATGCTTTAAAAAGAATCAGTTGTAAAGTAAAGCAGTTAAACGTTTGGTAAACTGTAATTTTAAAAATGCTGTGAATATGAAAAGCAGTGTCAGAGCGTTTGGTAAATTTTACTGTAAAAGTGCTGTAACTATTTATAATGACTAAAATGGACATGATGCTAAAAGTGCTTTTTACTAATCTGTTTGGAAAAAAATAAAACTGTAAAGTGCTTTTATACTTTTATCCCTAAATATTATATTAATCTTTGTTTAAAGAAAAGTAAAAATTCAAATTTTAAAAAAATATATCGTTTTTTTTTTCTAGGACCAAATATGACCTACTTTTTTTTAGCCTCAAATACCATAATACGCAATCACTTCATATTCTACTAGAACAACCTTGGGGATGTACAAATTTAAACTCTCAAGATATAGGATAAGCAAACATAATTATGTATTGAATAAATTCCAACGAAGATCAAGAGATCACCACTGGAGTAGGTTCATAAAACATCTTTCAAATTGAATAAGTAATAAATATTTTTTTGACAAATCCTTTGTCCTAATAAGGTTTGGATTGTAGCAATAAAAAAACCATTGAAACTAGGCTTAAATAAATGGAAATAAAGAAAATGTCTAAGAAGATGCATGCATTAAACTTGCAGCAATCTTGTTCCTTAATGTTTCGCGCGACGAAACGAGTTCGTAGACACGTAGTGGACTCTAATCGGAGTTGTAACGAAGGAGCTACGATCAAAAGAAGTTCAGTGGCATAACCGTAAATATTTCAAAGTTCAGATTTTATAAACCCAGATTTTTTGGTTTTCGGGGGGGGGGAGCCAGCCGACTTTGGGAGCTGTTTTCTCTCAGCTCCGACCTCAGATTCAGGCAATACCAGTGCTAGACTAACCACCAAACTTCCCTCTTCTAACCTCAGCCCTTCGCTGCCTCTATCTGCCGCCATAGTCGCCGGAAACAGCCGCGAAACAGGCGGGGTTTGAC